TCCTCCTACATTCTAGTAGAGGAAGGAGAAGAAAATATTTATCTCAATGATTCAAGAACTACCCAAGTTCTTGGGAATGAGAATTAAACCAACACCTTATGTGTCTATGCATTATGATTGTCAAGTGGCAATAGCCACTGCAAAGCGACAATAGTCATTGAAAAAAAATTAAACTTTTAATGGTAAAAAGAGACACATGTAGTTGAGACGTGATGTGATAAAGCAATTAATTAAAAATGGAATCATGCCTATTGAGTGGATTCGACAGATCCTCTGACTATGCATCGAGGGGAATGGGACTTAAGCCAATTGAAGAAAATCAACAATGATAGTAACCAAACATAAGTGATTGGTGATCCCATAAATTAGATTCATATGGGTAAAACCAAGTCACCTGTTGATCTAGTGATGCATTATTAAAAATTTATGTCTCTTCTAAGGTGAGAATAGTACAAGACTACAATGAAAAGAGGCTAGGCTAAACTCTTAATGAATTTCATAGTCATTGTTGGTGATGTATTAAACTCAAGAAATACACCTGATGAATAACAATAGTAATGGCTAGGAAAATGTAAATAGGAAAGCTTCAAATCTTTGACTCTCTCTTTATCTCTGCGCAGTTACCTGCCAATCAAGGACCACTGAGTTTCTAATGATCGCTTAGTAGACTTTTACTGCACGGTGAATTCGATTTTGTTAATTTATGAGATTTTAAGTCGTGGGTCATATTCAATTTTCAATAACATTTCGTTAACTCGCTTAATCCGTCGATTTCATAAGCTATTCTCATTTCCCAATAAATTAATAAAGCATGAACACGTTTTTTTTGTGAAGCGTAGGATCAACCCTTTTGGAGAGTCCTCATGGCTTAACAAGCGGCTGGAGGTTTTTAGCAACATAATCCGTAATTAATCACTGGATTAAGGAAAGTAAATCACACTCTTGTCTGTGCCCGACCACGTCATCTTTTGTAACAGAGCACGTACTGGGCTTCTGGAGTTTGACCGAAATTCGAGTACGATCACGTCATCTTTTAGCAACATGATCCGTAATTTTTTAAAATAAATAAATTTGCTGATTTTTTTACACAAAACAAAATTCGGGATAGATTTGAGACTGGAGTTAAAGCTCGGGGTTTTTTCTGAGATAAAAAAAGTTCGGGGCAGATTTGAGACTGAACCTAAAGTTTGGGGTATTTTCAGAGACAAAAAAAAGTTTATGGTAGATTTGGGACTTGACCTAAAGTTTGGGGTTTGTTTTTTGGAATTCATCTCCCGTGGTTTTGAAATTTGTCTAATTTATTTTCCTTTTAATATACATTTTCAATTTCGTATTTTATCTTTTTATGTGACATAGGTATAGGTACAACGCGTGCGGAAGATTTAGTATGTATAATTTGAATTTCGTTAAGTAAAAAATGGTAACTTGAGTTAGGCTCGTCCCACGCATTTTGAAATTCGAATGGTGGTGTCGTTGTTCATCTGGCCCAGTAATTTATTTAAAAGAGAGAACCGGACGTGTAGTCTTCTGTTACATTAGTTGTATATGTATAACATCGCCCTCGAGAATACCCATCACTATCTACCATTTAATTTTAAAACGAGAATGTCAAGAAATGCCCCTTAAGCACTTGTGAAAGTCCGTATTAAGTGTGTTTCGGAAACTCAAAATGTACCTTTTAAAAGAAGGGACTTTCATAGAGTATGTCATTCTTTCATTTTGAAGTGTCTTAAAAGGTGTGATCTTTTTACTTTTAGGAGATTTCTCTAATGCACCGGGGGCGTTTGTTAACGAAACCCAATTTAAATTCCAAAGAAAGTTACACCAAATTTGTATTATAAAATTTCCGAAAATCCACAATTTGACATCCTTATCTCGCCGGTTATCATCGTCGCGTGATATATCCGTTACTAAAACGCTTGAAATTACCGTGCTTGATTTCATACGTGCATTAGGTCTTCGTGATCACCACATGGCCAAGTCGTGTATGCTTTAGGTTAATACATCAAGATGTCCATTAATTATAAATTCATTAGTTACATATGACAACAGAGGCATGACAAGGCTTTTTTATTTGTCAAATATATCGGCATTGATTGATCGAATGACGGAAAATTGAATCATTATTAGTCTCAACTTTTTATTTTTTAACGCAACTCTTGTATAAAGTGTCGTAATATCCAAAAAAGAACTCAGAGACCTTACGATCAACCGACGATATTTATCTGTTTTTATCCTATGGTTTTGAGGAATCAAGGTTCATTTTCCAAAAATTCTTGAAACACCCTCAAAATCATGGGTGAATTCCCTAAAACACCCCAAACTTTAGGTCAAGTCCCAAATTTTCCCTGAACTTTTTTTTGTCTTAGAAAAAACCCCAAACTTTAAGTTCAGTCCTAAATCTGCCCTGAATTTTGTTTTGTCCAAGAAAAATTAGCAAATTTCAATTTATTTTCAAAAATATATCCCCGTAATCCTGTTCTAACTTGACGTGGTACTTCCACGTCGATAACAAATCCACATCAGCAAAGTAATGGGGTAATATGTATAGATCGACGTCGTATTTCCACTTCGATAATAAATCCAACCCAATAAAAATTATTGAAATTATCCAAAATAAAATCATTTTAAGATATGAAAGTTAGAGACGATAACAAATCCATCCCAAAAAACTTTTTTCAATTTAAAAAAAAAACCTAATTTTTAGGTTCAGTCTAAATTTGCTTCGAACTTTTCTTTGTCTAAAAAAAAGCCCCCATTACTTTTTGGATGTGGATTGGTTATCAACGTGGAATTGCTGCGTCAAGTTGGGACTGATCAAGGGAGTATATATTTGAAAATAAATTGAATTTTGGTGATTTTTTTTTTACACAAGATAAAATTCATGGTATGTTTGGGACTGGACTTAAAGTTTGGGATTTTTTCAGAGACAAAAAGAAGTTCTGGGTAGATTTGGAATTGGACCTAAAGTTTGGGATTTTTTCTGAGATGAAAAAAATTGGGGCAGATTTGGAACTTGACCTAAAGTTTGGGATTTTTTAGGGAGTTATGCCCAAAATCATGTGTAAGGCTGATTGCAATTTGTGTAGTCAACGGACCAAAACAAGCTGAACAAAGCAAACAAAGGAAGGGAAAGAGCCAGACAATAAAGACAACCAACGAAAGACGTGCCTCGTTCCTATGAAATAACAAAAGACATGCGTCATCATCATTAGTCCGAAAATCTAAAGATTCTTCCTTTGCGTGTTTAATTAGTAAAAGTCGGAGAATTTAATTTTGGTATCGAATTTTGCATATATTAATTATAACACTTGGTAATATCGTAAGATATGTTTAAGATATTGTTAAAAGGGTCCGGGAAGAACAGTCGGATTCACAACGACTTTAACAAAAAAAATTTCAAAGTCATATATATTGCAGTTTGGTCAAAGAAAAATAAGTCAACTTATCTTAAAATTATCCTAATGGTTTTGTTGGTGATTAGCATTATTCTATTAGCAGTTCAACTTCCCCATGTAATATGTTCAACCATATAGCAAAGGCCTATACTTTTGTCTAAATCGAACTTTTCGGCAATTGCCTCCAAAATTTCCCTCAATTGATGATGGGTTACACAATCAAATAACGTGACTTTTTCTTTTGGTCAAAAAAATAACGTGACTTCAATCGGAGTAAATTGTACTTTTGATGTTTGTTATTTTGCCACACTCTGCATTTTATTTATGTACTTTGTTTTTCTCGATTTCAATTCTGTACGATTATTGAAGTCTTTCTGTGCAATTTTAGTTCGAAATTCTAATCGAGAAAAATTCTAAGCTAGGATATCAACTGTGAACAAGCGACCTCTGTAAGCTGGGTATTGATTAATACGTGATACATTGACGAGTATACCAGTTTGGGATTTTACTCTCTGTTTGTTACTAGTGCACCAATTTGTGATTAATTGTGGTATTAATCCAACTTAACGAAAACTAACGGAGGGTAAATTTATCACAGGCGTACCGGTTTGGGTTTTTTGTGGTCAAAAAATTAGTTTGAGGTAAATTTGTCACATGTATACCAGTTTGAAATTTTTTGTGGTATTAACTCCTTTTTTTAAAGAGTAGTCCTATAATAGTGGTGTCAAGTGGGTTGGGCCAACTTGGGCATTGCACAACTCGTTTGTTAGTGGGCCGGGGTGGGCCAAATTGACTTGTTGGATCGGGCCGACAACGACCCGTGATTAGTAACCATTTGCCATAAATAAAAGAGGATACGCTCTGGCACAGCATGACTTGAAGCACAAAGGTGGTCATGCCCAAGTACGACCCGCTCCACATATAGGTTGGGCTATCATGAACCGCTATAATTCGAGGCATGATGAGCCACACGTGGGGCCGTACCGGACCAACTCATTTAAAATTAGGTTAATCCCATAAAAAAGCCTAAATTTTGTCATGTGAGATACTAATATCTTAAACTTTTTTTTTACTTCACCAATATCCGAAACTCGTAGAGTGACTGAAAAGTTTCCTGCATTTGATATCTTAAATGGTGTAATCCACCCATGCCATAACGTCATATTTTTAACCATAATTATGGTTGGAATTGTCAAGAAAAGGTATTTTTTGGATTGCCGATATAAATTTGAGTGTATTGGTAAGATGAAAAATAGTTTGAGATATCGGGGTCTCACGAAGATAAGTTCAGTCTATGATGGGATTTTCCTTTGAAATTTACACGGACATATTCGAGCTAAGCATCCGTTCTACGGGGTTGACACATGCCTTGTATCATAGGATCCGAAAACTCGAGAAAACACCACCAAAAGAGGGATAATGAAGTTAGACCGGATTAAAAATGAGAGAAATTAGAGTTTGGGAGAAAAACTGTCCGTTTTCGATGAAGTGTTTATGCAGAGCGAGAGGCATGCTCCTTCGCTTTAGGAGCATAATGCCTAGAGGAATGTTTGTTCAGTTCAAGTAAATTCTTACGTTGTTGAATGCAAAGTACCTTATAATTCCCAAAGAAGGAAACAAAGATCTGCCAAAAGTACAAACCGCCCCCCTTGGATCAAATAGGATGGAGGTGAGGATGGACCCGAGCCAAAATATCTGAAGACGCTTTCTGGGAAACTGATGCAAAGCTAGCTGTCTCCCCCTCCTAGCCCTCCTTATCCAAGACCCCCCCATTAGAGAACACATTGCATAGTGAGAGGTGAGGAGACGGGAACAGAAAAACAGATGTACTCATCAATCTGCATGCCGATGTCTTCTCCATCTCAATCTCTCCTGAAGCCAAACCAGAACCCTCTTCTGGGTTCGGCTCTTTCTTCCAAACGATGGTCGCCATCCAGAAGAAGAACTTCTTTGACAACCAGGGCAATCCTATCAACTTCCAGAGAATTAGCCTTGAATGGTTTCCATGAGAGAAGGGCTCTTAAGGTGATGATAGGAGAAACACCCGCTTGCATCTTTAGCTATAAATTTGACTTTATCTTGAGGTTTTTAATTTTGTGCAGACAATTGGTTGATGGTTTTGTTGCAGATTATTTCAGGTTTGCAAAATTTTGACAGAGAGAATGTGTCTTCTGTAGTTACTGCTGCTGATAAGGTTGGTTATGGGTTTTTCAATCTGCACTATGTTCTCTGGTTTACCCAGGTGCCACTCCAATGGTTTATGAGAAGACATGAGTCCTGCCTTTGAAATTTTCATTTTATGGGCTGTTTTCTTCACGTTTGTCACTGGAGTGGATAGGCAACAAAATGGCTTTAACTGCATTTCCTTTGATTAATTTAAGTTCAAAGTTTTCTCTGGTAGCATTACTCAATTTGAATGACTCCCAACTTTGTGACGAAGAGGACGTTATAGGTTGCAGAAAGTGTTGTAGCCAAATTGACAAACCACTCCCATGGTCAGGGAGCTTTTGTTCTAAATGTTACAGCTCTCAAGGAAACCTATATTTCCCAAACAAAGCATATTAATTTTTTTGTCTGATGATGACCCCACTTAAGGCCGGTATACCCAAAACCCATGAAATATTTTGTAACATCATGAGACAAATAAGACACGAGCCAAATCCCGAGGGAGCAGCCTAAAGATGGGATGGTTTTGCACTCGATAGAGTTGGTTGGATATTAGACTTAATCCAAATGCAAATGTCAGAGTTCAATTGGCTTTGTTATCTGTGTAACTGTCAATCACACAATTAACCTATCGAAAGTTTTTTCTGCTGCTTGGGAAAAAGAAAATGAATATTCTTGTTACTAACTAGAGAATGTTGTTTTCATGGGCTTGCCCATTTTGTGTATCTATATTGGCTATGGTCCGACTGATCACCATGTCTGACCTACAATGCAGGGAGGAGCAACTCATGTTGACATAGCTTGTGATCCTGAGCTAGTGAGGTTAGCCATTGCCTTGACTTCTCTTCCGGTGAGCATTCTTGTTCGAAGTTCTTGTGCGTCCACTTCCAGTTTTGCTTCTCAAGATGAGCAATGTTCATGTTCATATTTCTATCTCGTGATATTATAAAAGATGATAATACAATCATCTTGTAATAGATAAGAATGAAGCTTTGAGAGTAGCATTTGAATGAATGCATACCTCGATGTTTAGTATCAACTACACCAAATGTTCATCACCTTGTCCATATTGCAAAGTTCATCACTGAACCGTGTTCAGATGAAGGCAATTTTTTGAGAGCTTGTTTGATTTTGAGTGTTTAGGAAATAATTTTCTTTTTTAATTGTATCTCCTCTTTCAGGTATGCGTTTCTTCAGTGGATCCAGCAGCGTTTGTGGCTGCAGTTAAAGCGGGAGCTCTTATGGTTTGACTTATCGTTGCTTGATCTTCCAGCTTCTACTTCTCAATTAAGGAATAAAAGATCAACAAGTTTCTTGCAGATGAAATATTCACTTAGAATGAGAAAATGTTGCTCTTTGATGCAGGTTGAAATTGGAAACTACGATTCCTTCTACGAGACGGGCATGGTTTTCTCTCCAGATCAGGTAGTTGAGCTTGTGATACTGCAATCTTTTTCTCAGTTCTAAATTATGTGGACATCTCTCGAGTAAATGATGTATGAAACATTTCTGGCCAAAGATGGCTGAGAATCCTTTAGCTGGGAGCTAACAATTTTGCAAATTTAGGAAAAAAAAATAGGGCCTCAGTGATAATGATTTCCAGGATGCGCATTTTCACATAATGGAGGACGATAAAGATTATGCGGTGATCCATGGACCTCTTTTCTTATAAAAGAGTGAAAGATAGAAAATAAGAAAATACTGGCATGGCATTGTGTTCTTTTTATTTCATCAAAGATTCTCTTTATTTCTAGTCCCAGGAATAAGTGACAGTTTTTACAGAGGCAGAGAAAAGTTCGAAAAGTTCTTCATGATTTTATGTCTCATGTTGTCAAATGCTCTTTGCAGATTCTAGATTTAACTAAAGAGACTAGAAGGATCCTGCCTTCCGTGCCATTGTCCGTGACCGTGCCTCACACAATAAGCCTACCTGATCAGGTTTGTAAGCATCCCTATTGTTTCTTTGGATTGGAAATTCATGTCGATTCACAATGTCGAGTAGGTAACGATTTTGAACAAACCAAACAGGTGAAGCTTGCTGAGTTGCTGGAACAAGAAGGTGCTGACATAATCCAGACAGAAGGAGGGAAGTGTTCTAATCCTTCTGCATCCGGAGTTCTCGGCTTGATTGAGAAGGTAAATTTCAGAAGCTTTAACCATTATCATGTGTCAACGCCTTCAATAGCATGATTGATAAGTAGATCCTGATTTGTTGGGATGTTTTGGCGATGGTCTGTTTTATTTTGGTGACGGCTTCACACCACGAGATATTAAATCTGCTTGCTGTTATATCATAATTTTAGGCGACGCCTACATTAGCTGCGGCATATTCTATCTCAAGAGCTGTCAAGATTCCCGTGATGTGTTCGTCGGGTCTCAGCGTGGTTACGGCTCCCATGGCCATCACTGCCGGTGCTGCGGGAGTGGTATATATGCCAATCTATACTCTCATTCCACTCTTTAATTAGAGGACGTCTTCTGTTTTCTCAAGTTCTTAGGAGTCGGTGTGCTCAGATTTTAAGTCATTCGAAAAATTGCAGGGTGTTGGATCGGCAATCAACAAGCTTAATGACGTGGTCGCAATGATAGCTGAGGTCAAGAACATAGCAGATTCGTTGAAATTGCCAAGCCAACGCGATGTACGGAAAGAGAGATCGTTGAACTTGTAATGAGCTTCATACAATTACATACGACGTTCTTGTTCTGGTGCAGTTGTGCTCCTGTTATAACTCTTGCACAAGATATAACTCAAAATTGAATTACATGAACTAATAGAACCTCATCCGCAGTGATAACCAAATGAAAAGTTTTGGTTGATTTCGCGGCTTTCATTTTTCGTGGATAGTAAAGTCTCCTATTGAATGCAGATTGACAATTCTCCGAACTTGCGCAACGGATTGTTTTGTGAGAATTACGATGAGTATAGAGACGGTTGCTCCTCATATTGAGAGAATTACGCCACAAAGTCATAAAGAAAAAGCCAAGCACGGATCAAGATCATCAATTCAAAAGCCATATCTACCAATTCACAACCTTCCAAGGGATCACAAAAGGGCTGATGATACAATAAGAGTGACTGATACAAGATGAATTACTAGTTCAAAGGACAACAAACGAATTGGGAACATCTCAGGAGCCCATTCCTACATCCACAACCTAATTCCTCATTTTCTAAATTCTGAGCTTCAGAGGAACATTCTTTCACTTTAGAGACTAATGCAGCACACTGGATTGTATTTCTATGATCAAACTTAGTGTGCGTTTGTTCCGCTGAAAACTTCATGATACAAGAAAATATTTTCCATGAAAATCATTTTCAAAGAAAATGGTTAGTTATCATTTGTTTGGTGATTTAAGGAAATTGATTTCATTCTTACCGGAAAGGAAAGTCATTTTCCCTCAATCTAAGCTTGTCGTTTTTCAGTCCATGGAAAATGTTTTCCAAAGATCAATTGGTTCTTCCGTCATCCAAATAAGGAAAGTCAGAAAATAATTTCCCACGAACAGTTTTCCTTCAAACAAACGGATTCTTAATTTGCGTTCGCAGCAACACACCGCAAATTGAATAGCTTGCTAACCCAACTTAAATCGACCATATTTGTAGCCTGCTAGGCATTTATTTTAGTTCATTCAGTTCTCAGCAAATTGTACAAAATTACATCAGAGAATACCTGAAAAGGAGTCGGCTCAAGTTTGATATAGTGCACAGGGTATTGCCTTCATTAATGATCGATAGCTACACCAAATTGTGCAATACTACATTGCACAAAAGAGGGGACAGAAAATGAAGTCGAAGCATGCTAAGAAGTTTAGTTTTCCTACACATGAACATGAGAATCTAAACCTGCAATCGTCTCCAACTTCCAAGAACTAACTTGAGAATTGTCAAGTAAAGAGAATTCAAATCAAAGGGCTACTGAAATTACTAATCATATACAATGGGCAGATCAATTACTCAATATCATACAATCACGTCCTATTTAAACTCGGAGTCATCCTCAGTTTCCTCATCTTCACCGCTTTCCTGCAATTCACACTCTCTTCTGAGAAATACTTCACGACACAACGGCAAGATATGACGAGCATACACAGATGAAGCAAACTATACCTTTCTTTTGATGTATTCTGCCATGGCCTTGTCAAATTCTCTCCTTTTCTCATTGGCTAAGTCATAATAGTGAACCTTTTCCTGTCAAATGCGATAAAAATCCATATGAAACTCTGGGTTAAAAAAAAGATGGATAGATTCATCCCCTGAGAGGGGGATCTAAATCATGGCTTGGAAAAGGCAAACAAGTGAGACGTAAATGCATTGGCCAAAAATAAAAGCAGTTATACATCGTAAGGTGATTGGCCAAAGTGCCAACCCAGAATCACCTGTCGAGGCGAAAAGTGCACATAATGGATCATCAACCACATAACAGATGAAATCAAGATGGGCTGATAATTGCCATCACAAGATGCTAAACTACAGGATAGGGGTCTGTCCTAGGACCAAGCATGATAACTTCAGATATGCAAGCCTTAATCGGCAAATTCCATGAACATACTTCACGTCCAACGTCATTTTCTCTTCATGTCAGATTCCAAAAGAGGATTCCTCTGCCCAACACTGTATGCATACTTTGTCTATTTAAATATTCAGACTTCACTGTTATTTCCATCACCAAACTGGTCTTTAAAAAGAAAATGGCACTATAATTGGTGTATTCTGATCCCCTTGCCTAAGTGATTGGCCAATATGTCACTATATTCTTGTTCTTGATTTTGTTCACATCTCATTCACATTGTAATTAATGAACACAATAAGGCCAAAAAGGAACAATCAACCTTGAAGTACTTTGTTATTAAACAATGGTAAGCTGCAATATAGGAAATTTTTCATATATTAAGGGCTGTCCCTTACAGAAGAGTATGGAACACAGCCCGACAAAAGGGGTGAGGGCAAAGGAAAGAAACAGAATGAATACTTGATTTGAAGGCGGCAGTACTTTAATTTTGTTGATGCAACCTGGAGAACAGAACCAAATAAAAAAGAACCAAAAGACTACTAAACCGAAACAGAGAGAAGGAAACTAAGTGTGAGCGAATGATGGATGGAGAGAAAGAGGACACAAGATGCTCAGGCAAATCCAGTAGAGAGGGTGGCCTCAATGAAAGACTATAATTGTTATCTAAACATGGCAGTGTAAATCCAAAAAATACCATTATCCTAAAATAAACATGCTACTCCACTCTTACAAGGTCGACATATTTGCTACATGAGAATCATCAGAAATCTCCCTACAACCAATTTTAAGTGTTTCATTGGGAAGATGAAAGATATCTTACACACTGGTTTGTACCCATAATCTTCCTTCCCATTACCAGGCAGTTCCAACTAAAAGCTGTAGTCTAGATCATAGTTGACTATTTCATCTTCACCTCCATTATACCCTATAGGCTATAGCACCCCCATATACTGCTCTACACTACCAAAGTTAGTTTGTTCCTCCTCATCCTCATCCTCCTCCTCCCTCCCTCCCTCCCTCTCCCTCTCTCTGTCTCTCTGTCTCTGCGTGTCTCTCTCTCTGTCTCTCTCTCTCTAGGCTCATAAGTTCGAGATAGCAAGTTCTAGATCTTCACCAAAACCTCAGGAATCAGGTCTTCAAATTTCCTCCATTTTTAAACTGTCATTTTGTATCCACAGCACTTCTCTTTGAATTTCTTTTTTATTTCTATATTTCTTCTCTAGTAGTAATGCAGTAGAAAGGACTCCAAAATTGATTGCATCCTACCACTGCTCTTTCTTCTCCAGGTAGCAAGAAACTGCTGTGAGCTGCTGTATCTAAAAACTAGTAGGGGACCAGTGGGTGTCCTGTTCAGTCATAGTTTTCTTTAATCTGAGTTTCTTTGGAAATGGCAGTGACTGGGTCTCCAGGCTAGCCAGTGACCTGCCACTGCCTGATACCACAGCTGACAGGTGGCAGTGGGAAGATGGATTTAGAAATGGTTCCAGAAACCTTCTTGTTCCATCTTCTTCTTCATTGTTTTTAGCCTATAGAATGCTCTCTAGAGGATTATTAAGGACATTAATTTCTATCAATAGAAAAAACATTTGTACTCAAAGCATCTAAAGCACATGCCAAACGTAGGATAGGACTAGATACTACATTAACCGACCTCATATCTGTTCTATTTCTCTAAACATCACTATGCATAGGAAACCCTCTTTTGTAGTTATTATATACTCTTCCATGAATAACATGACCAGGGAAACCATAAAGCAGCAATAAAGTAAACCCAGATTACGCACCATTTGAGAAAAGCCTGGTGAATTTAAAGGGATAGATATCACAAACCTCGTAAGTCATTGTCTTCCACTTCTCACCACAAGCCTTGCCAATCTAGAAGGAGAGAACAAATAATAACATGAATATATAGGACGTAATGCCAGAACATACAGGTAGCATCATATGCAATGAATACCAACTACCAAGCCACTAATATTTACAAAGCAAATATTGTGAACGTACATCCCGCATTGACTTGACATCTGGGTTCCGCTCTTGATAATCCTTTCGAAAATCCTCCCTTGAAATGGAAATAACAGAATCACGTCATAACATTTCATTGTACAAAGGAATAAGATTTATGATCTCTTAAAAATATGATGGTCCTAAAAAACACAGAAAGCAGTATAACTCTGCATACGATGCTCAAGTCAGAGTATTTAGTGATTATTCCCAAGGATTCATGTACTGATGCAGAGAAAATGATACCCAAACAGGACTCAGGATTAAAACGAAAAGATAGATAGAACTGATAAGATGATATCGTGACAAAAGTAGCTAAACACATGAACAGATAAGACTTGGCAGTTGTGGATCTTTGTCAAAGAATCACTGGAAACTCAAAGACTCCAACTTCAAGAATATGCAACGCTTAACTTGATCCCGTTATTAAGACAGTTATGTCAGTATCAAACATGAAAACAGATAACTTTTACAGGCTCAAAGTCATTATCCTATTGAGGCTAGTTTTCAGTTTGGTGAGATAATTTGAGCTGGAGTCAGATCTGCATACTATTACATTGAGTGGATTTGAAACCAGAATTGTCCCATAACATCTCTCTAGCCTGACCACCCTCCGGAACTTTGCAAAGTAAGGCTGTTTGACATCATCCATATTGGCAGGAGAGAAGCCTTCCAATCTCAGAATACTTATCATGTTAAGGTTCATACCACAACCTACAGCTTAATCCACTTCTAAGATTCTAACTAAGTACAATGGAGATTTTCCTCTTAATTACATTCACATCAATTGTAGTCCCTTGAGTGCTCCTCAATCCTGTATGGAACTCTTTTGCCATGCCTTCAAACAAGGGTGTGAGAAAGAGACATTTGTAATGGCGTATTTAGTTCCATGGGCAGCTTCCAAATTACTTCTGCTATAAAATCATATTCGCGATTTCTGCGAACGAGTTATTTGTGTTTACTAATAGCAATGCAATACAGAGATAACTGATGGCAGTATGAGAATTAATCTTGTCCTTGACATTTTACTCAAACAATAAGTCCCGAAACATTCCGAAACCTGGTTGGGGGGCAATTTCAAACACGACATGTATACATGACTCGAACACTACGAAGAAACAATTAAGTAAATGAAACTTGAATCTGACACAAGACAAACAAGATAAACATGAAATCAACATGATTCCCTTCTTATTTACAAAAAATAATCTCCATCATACTGGAAACACTTTTAAGCTACTTTCATAATGATACAAAACATTTAGAAATATTGACACAACAAGTACTGCTACCCTACTGTTGATGACTCACCACCTGTTATCTAAACCCTAGACCCTAGGAAGGTTAACTAAAAAGAATAGCAAAGAGGGCACTTGACAATGCACCTCCAGGCTAAAAAGGCAATTGACATAGTGGCATCTCCTTCTTTAGAGAAAGATGGGCCACCTGTTCAAACCTCCGAACATAAAGGGGTGAAAAAAAGTGATACGGAAAACACTGGGTCATTATCTCCTTAACCAAAAAATAGAAATGAAAAATACACCTCCAAATTGTCCATCCCATTTGACTCTAGGATATCCAGATCATTCCCTACAACCACCAGCAGTGACATAAGTGGCACTGGTAGACTAGCTAAATTTAGTAGACCCAAGTCGATTCACAAATCACAATTTGGTTTCAGTTATGAATTATGGTACCACCAAACCGCAAACAGACCAACTTATTTCACTAGACCGATCCACATGTTAAAAGCCCCTAATGGAAGGAACGAGTCAATTATAAGCCACCCAAGGAGGGACTTGACTCTCAAGTCTCAACCTCTAGAACAGTGTACATAACTACCTGTGCATAGCTTCAAACCATGAGACCGATATTCAGTCTGACGATGTATGCTATACATATGTTTCTAAACAAATGTCACCAGAACCAACTCGAAGCGCCATTTTCATCAATTCAACAGTTCAACACAGCCTAGTATCTGCAGAATACATATTTTCAATGTTCTCAAAATTGTGTTATTCTATTGTCCATCCTTGACTACTATATTTCAAGCACTCTTGCTCTTAAATGCAAGATAATGATGTTTGAGACAACAAAGGATATAGGTCAATGTCCATTACACAAAACTATTCTAGGTGATGACAGATATGGCATTCACTTGCTATGATGTACCTTCAAACTGTCAAAAGTTGCAAGGGTATATCTGCTGCAGTAAAGAGCACCAAAATAAAACGAAAAAAAAGCAAAAAAGCTTCTATCTGCCAGAACTTAGTATGGAGACCTAGAGGCCTTCCGACTACTAACTATCACTCACTCAAAAAGACATCAATCAGTATGATGGAGGCATACTGCATGCAGGAGACATACTGCATGCAGGAGACAAAGCTATCTAGCAATTTAGACAAGCCACAAAATCCTAAAAACAACAAGAAAGAAAGAAAGAATTTATACATGACACGACCACAAGTATTAGAAACCCATTTCAATCATCAGGAAAAGGCTTTTCATATTTCAGACACATAAACTAGCTCCTTCCTGACAAAATCTTCTTCATCTTCTCTCTTCCACTACACCACATATCGCAAGTAATTGCACACCTAAAAGATCTACTACAATGCTCATGCAAAATAATCGTGCGTTAAATCGTTCATGAAAAATCCACAAAAACATCACTGGACAATTCCTGGTCAGACTTCTCGGTGGAATATAACGCGATGACATAATTCAACAGCTTGTTTCACGCATAAGCAACATCATTGACCAACAGTCCAGAGATTACTCCGACGAATTCTAAAATTCCAAGCGACCAGCAACATCTCTAGACCAAGTACAGACACAAGCAGGAGACAACACAACAGCAACCGAATTCGAGAACAAGCCAAGATTCCTAGTCCTAACAAATTGGGGGGCAAAAAAGAAAACACCAACCATCTATTAAACTGAGACAAACAAGTCGAAAAACTCACAAGAAGTAGAAAAAAGCAGTGGGCGGTTTCTTGGGCATCTTCGCGTCAAGCTTAACATTCTTCTTCCCTCTCGCCGTCTGGCCCTTCTTCACCGACTTGGGCCTCCACTCCTCCTCGCTCTCTCTGCTCAGCAGAGCCAACTGCTTCATCTTCTCACTCGATTTGACCCTCAACACCATCCTGCCTCTCCTGCGCATTCAACAAAACCAAGACGAGATTCTTTAGGCCCTACAAACGACACCCGCCATCGGAACGCTTCGCGGAACTCGCTCCTCGGGTCGAATTTGGATCATTCTCAAGTGGGTCGATTTCAAGAATCAAGAAAACCGAGATGGGGGAAGGAGAGGAAGCGATTACTCACTCGTTCGACGCCGCGTTGACGGCAGGAGAAGAAGAGACGGATTTCCCGCGGTTTGAGGATTTCTTGTTGGGCATTCTTGCGGGGGGCGACACGAAGACTCCGCTCTGCTTGGCCTGAACTCGGGGTTGAGTGAGAATGGTGGAGAACTTTCAGGCCGCGACGACACAAACGAACGCCGACGGAAGGACTGTGGATGACGAAATGCCAAAGCCGACCAACTATTTCTGTTTGTCGGTTGATTTCAGGCTAAAAGGTGTGTCTGTTAAGGTTGTCAAAATGTTTCGACCAAAAAGAGGTTGTCAAAATGTCAAAAGGAAGCACTCACCCATTCACTCTATTCATATATTTCGACCAAAAAAATATTTATATATGACAAAAAAAAACTATATTTATAAGGATTAATATTAAAAAAACCCCCTAAACTGGTACATCTGTAGTAAATTTACAGTAAACTAATTTCTGACTACCAAAAACCCTAAACTAATATACTTGAGACAAATTTGCCCTATGTTAATTTCCGTTAAATTTTACCGTTAAATTGTTGAGTTGAATGACATGTAATAGTTAACGGATGTACCAATTTGGGTTTTACCTCCTCTGTTTGTCACAAGTTTATCAATTTGTGATTTTTCGTTGAATTAATCTAATTTAACGAGGGGTAAATTTGTTACAAATGTACTGGTTTGAGATTTTTTGTGATTAAAAAATTGGTTTGGGGTTAATTTGTTACAAGTGTACTAGTTTGGAGTTTTTCGTGGTTAAAAAATTAGTTCGAGGTAAATTTATTATAGGTGTACCAGTTTAGAGTTTTTAATGGTATTAACCCTTAAGTATATTTATATATTTTGACCAAAAAACACTATATCTATAATTTGACAAAAAAAACTATATTTGTAAAGATTGAATTCGATTTTCTACATTAGTTATACATTATACAAGAGATAATATACACTACAAATAACACTCTTTCTCTATCTTGTCTTGTAAGTGATAGGTTTCTGGAATTAACAAAGATAGGAATCCGGACAATCAATTTTCTTTCGCTATCTTGAAAGTAAGAAATCCGACATGACACTCATGTTGATTAAGTCTCGTGAATTAATTTTCAATCGAGACGAAAGCGAGGCGACACAAACAAGGCGGCAAAGTTTGTGTGCCTCTCGTGAGGGCGGGGATCGGTTGTACAAACTTGCGTTCACGGAGCATGAGGTGGATACGACAACTAATTCACACCTCTAGTAATGTAGCAATAACTAGTTAGAGTAGAGTATGTACAATAAGCACATATCTCTTTATTGATCAAATTGCGTTTGGCAAAAGGAGAGGTTTTTTTTTTATCTCACTCATCTCTTTTATATACATATGTGTGCGATGCTTATAAAGATCAAACTTAGGACTTGATACCCTCCGGCCCCATCTCCTTAATTTATTTGCGAGCAGGGTCCCTTTGTCCGTTGGCGGAAAAGAGAGTTTGAGCTATAACCTTTTTGGTAAGAAAGTAGTCAGACATTGACTCCTATGCCTCTCTCATTGAAATTTTTGCCCGCTATAAAAATTGTTGTGTTATTGACCACGACGAGAATAGAAATCTCATTCCACCTGTCTCTCCAACCGTGGCAACGGTTGATAGCAGTGTTTGTCATTAATTGCTCGATGTCTGTGGATCATCATGTCAGCAATTGTCATTAATAGCAGTCTTTAGCAGTTGTCGGCTCGGCAGGGACTTATTCCGGGCTTACCTGGTGGATAGTCTTAGGGTGCGCATGACAACCATTCTCGCGCTCTAATTATTTCCGAACGTAAATGATTTTTTTATTCTCGTGCCTCGAAACAATTTCTCGTGCATTTGAAGGCGTCCAGAAACTGTCCAAAATTTCTATTCCTGGAATAGAAAAGAATAGAAATGCGTTTGGTAACTACACACAAATTCCTTTTTATTAATAATATTTTGAATTGTTTAATTTTTTTTTTCTTTCTACCCAGGTCATGGCCGGTTGCCGGAGACCAGCCATAGCCCAGGCCGTCGGTGGAGGCGAGGGTCCCCCCTGCCGGCGAGGGCGAGGGCTGGACCCTCGCCGCCTGGGCGAGGCGGCTCGCCGTCGGTCATGGTGAGGTCGGCCTCGCCCAGATCGGGTGAAGCCGAGCCTCGCCCTCGCGACCCACGGCGTAGCCGACCTCGCCGTGGGTCACGACGGCGAGGCTCGGCCTCGCTAGATCCGGGTGAGGCCGACCTCGCCCTCGCGACCCACGGCGAGGCTCGGCGTCACCCTAGATCTCGGCGAGGCCTAGCCTCGCCGTGGGTCGCGACGGCGAGGTCGGCCTCGCCTGACTCGGCGAGGCCGAGCCTCGCCGTCGCGACCCACGGCGAGGTCGGCTTCGCCGTGGGTCGCGACGGCGAGGCTCGGCCTCGCCAGATCCGGGCGAGGCCGACCTCGCCATGACCGACGGCGAGCCGCCTCACCCAAGCGGCGGGGTCCAACCTCGCCTCGCCTCGCCGGCAGGGGGACCTCGCTCTGCCGGCGGCCGGCGAGGGCCGTGACGCCCTCGCGGCCTGGGCTGGGCGGCCGCCGGCCACAACCCAAGAAGAGAAACACAAAAAGAAGAAAAGAAAAAAAAGAAAAAGAAGAAAAAAAACTGATTCTCAAAATTGTGCCGAGAAACAAGAAGCAACTTTTTTTTACTTCTTGATTCTCTTCCAAAACTGTTTCTCGGCACAAATATTTGCAAAAATGTGCCCAGGAATAAAAAGTTTACCAAACGCATTTCTGTTCCCAAACTATTTCTGGGAACAAAAGAACAGAAATTTTCACTATTTGGCACGTTATCAAATGGGCCCTTAACGTCTCCAGTCGAACATTTCGGCAGTGAGTGAAACACGCCTTAATTGGGGACATTACCAATTCGGTTCTAACTTTATTGTACAGATGACAATTCAGTCCTAAATATTTTCATTTTAGCAATATTATCATAAATTTTTGCTTCGAAATTTCAATGTAACCTTTCTGGCCAATTGCTGATGCGGAGTTTTGTCATCGTTGGCCGTCCTACATAGTATGCTAACTTGGACAACTTTTGGATCATCGTGTTAGCGATTTTCGATGGTAATTAGTCAGAAAAATTAAGACTTATGACTACATTGATAAAACCGGAGCTGGAGTAAAGTCGAAGCGATCTCTACTCCTAGTACACAAGCCGAACCTACGCTACCAAAGAATCCATAAAATGTTTGGAACACTATAGAAGTGAAATCGTGAAAGCATAAAGCCGACATGAGAGAGTGTGCCCTCAAGACTGCTTGGGAGATGGGCTAGTCGAGACGCTCGAAAACTAGCCTAGACGTCCCTTGATTACTATAACAAAAAAAATGAAATGACATGCATGATTTTGGTCTTAACATCTCACATGGTCTTCAAATTAGTTTCACAAGATACGGAAAATCTCTCTAAGATCCACCATTCATTAACACGATCATTTGCAACAAAAGTTGAGGGGATACTAGGGAAATTTAGTTGGGACATCGAATGCATAATTGTCTGCATTTGATATATAGAACATCTGGTTTTATTAATAAAAGTTTAAATCCCAAGCACATGTAGCTAGGAATGACAATGTACAATATTTTATGGATAGGCAACTATCCAATTTTTTCATCTCTTTCATATCTTCCTACACAACCAATAGTGATCTTTTAGGCTGCGTTTGGTAACTGACCAAATAGTAACTGATTCTATTCTTTTGTTCCCAAAATCATTTTTGAAAGATAAATCCTTTTGGTAAATTTTTTGTTCCCGAGTACAAATTTGCATAAATTTGTTCCCAAAATCAGTTTTGGAATAGAATCAAGACGCAAAAAAAGTTGCTTCTTGATTATAGGAACAAGAATTAGAAATGAAAATAATTTTTTTTTCTTCTTCTTCTTCGTTTTCTTCCTAGCCTGTTGCTAGTTGCCGGCTGCCAACCACCGGCGACCGGCCATAGGCCAGGGCCGGCGAGGGCGTCGCGGCCCTCGCCGGATCTTGCGTGGGTGACCTCCGCCGCTGCCGTCGCCAGATCCGGCGAATGTCGCCCTCGCCGGATCTGGCGAGGGCTGCAGTGAGGGCCGCGACGCCCTCGCCGGCGACCTGGCCATGGGCCAAGGAAGAGGAAGAAGAAGAAAAAAAAAATAAAAAAAGGAAAAATAAAAAAAAAGAAATATTAAAAAAATCAAAATATTATTAATAAAAAGAAATTTTGTGTAGTTATCAAACAAAATTTTGTTCTTTTTCTTGTTCAAGAATAGAAATTTTGGGCAGTTACCAAATACCTGCAAATGCTTAGAAATTGTTTTTGAGAATGAAATAAAAAAGAATCATTTCTTAGTAGAAATTATTTTCGAAAACAGAATGGTTATCAAATACACCCTTAATCCTTTATTTGTGTTAGACGAAAAATTGGACTAATTTGGCCCCTGTTGCTTAGGGAAAAAGTTACCAGAAGTGTAATTTTTTTTTTTCGAATTAATTGAGTGCTACATTATTGGTTAAAAATCTTTCGCTTAAGTGTTATCAGTGATTTGGCAGTCGGAATTAACGAAAAATTGAGGAATTGGGACATGGAGGAAGGCCACTACCAACAGTAAAAAGGATTACCACAATCAATTTCAGATTTTCTTCTTTCCTCTAAAATCATAACACCAACATATCTTCTTCTTTCCTCAGATTTTCGATGAAGCGTCGTCGTTTTTAGTCCCATTTGCCCTGTCATCTCCTTCAATTTCCACTTCGGACTCGAATTCCTTTTCAAATCACGTTGGTCTCAAAGTTCTATTTAAAAAAGTTGGACGAATCGCTGGAATATATATTGGAGGTGCTCAAGTGAACGATCGTCAATCAATGCGGCACTCAAATGATTGAAAAATAAGTATGGCTCTTTAGTGACGCCATACGAAAATTATGTCACTTGTGGTGTTATTGTCCCCATATTTTATTGCTTGGCACTTACCTCAAATTGGCAAATATCCTCACAAACGATAAACAGTCGAAAGTTTTGAAATGAAAGTGAATTGCAGTTTAAGCCGAACACTTGGTTGGTGCGAGTGCGAAGCTCTTACGATAATATGACTAGGAGATTCGCCAGCTCTAATTACCCCTTCCCACCAATTTCTTCACAAAGAGAAAGGGAAAGAAGGAAGAAGAAGAGACAATGGAGGGAGGAAAAGAGAATGAGAATTGCCAAACTATTTTATGACCATTGCAATATTCACCAAAACGAATCATAAGAACAAAAAGAAACACAGTTCAAAACAAAAAGGGGGAAGTAGAAGGGATAGGGAGGGCATTGCATAATGTGAGTTTTCTCATCACCCGCGGATAAACTTCATTCGTCAGTGCAGGCGGCTCCACCAAGGTGCCAGACAATAGTCTTAACTGCTTGAAAACGTTGTGATGGTAACAGCGTAAGGTTGGCCAGAATTTTTCTACGAGCGCAAACAGCCCATATTTAGACGATGTGGAATCATGTACAAATAGGCAAACCCAGCATCCCCAGGCTGGCTCAAATGCCAGGGTAGGCTTTATTCCAATCGGATGCCAGCACGATATTGTCTGCGCCTGATCGTAGCTCATCCACGCCCGTTCGGCTTTGAAACGAAACGAATTATGCTTGTGTAACGTTCCACGAGACTTAACTATTGGCACAACAACCCATACTTAGATGATATGGGATGAGAGATACATCAAAATTTAGGGGGTGAGGAAGTGGGACGGTTCAACTTGTGAACCAACTGACTGATTTTAGGTCGGCTAACATGAGGATTAGGTAGGTCCCTTGGTAAAAAAAAAATTGAAGTATCCGCCTTGATCGGTTCGGCTTTTGGTATTATTTCGATATTTAACTAGTTTTTAGCTTTTTCTTTGTACTTTCTACAGAAAAATAATATAAGATATATTGGAAATAAGTTTTGAATCAATGCCTTAATCACTATGCCGCCATTTATTTACATGGTATGTTTTCTTAACATTATAGTTATACTACTTAAAGTTAGTCAGAACCGGCCGGTTCGGTTTCAAACCAAATGCTAGGGAAGCTAGTTCGGTTTCCGGTTTCAAAAATCAGAAGGTCCAGATTCTTTAATCGGAACGTACTCACTCTGGAGCTAATTACCCCTAGCGGAAACCCAATAGTTAGCTTATCATCATAGACGAAGAAGGACATGAAAGGAAGAAAAAGAGAAGAAAACAAAATAAGCATGTTATGCCCTTTGCACAAAAGAGGAAACTGGGGCCTGCCTTGGGTCGTTGATGGTGGTTACCGAAGATATCTCAAACCTAAGTTTCCGACCGGGGTCGCCACGCTGTCCAAGCGTATATACTTTGCGGGCTGACTGGATTATGTTTCTTATTCTAACACGTCGGTGCCCGCACGCCCAGCCTCTACAATTGGCGAGAAGATTTTTCTTCCCTCTCTCTAGGAATATTCCCGAGTTTTACGTCCCAGAGTTTAACGAAACAGTAAAATAAGCATGTTATGCTCATTGCACAAAAGAATCTGGCTTTTTCTTTTTTATCGGATGTCTTCGAAGAGACGATCCGGCTCTTTCAATACATGAGAAAAGGAGAAGAGAAGCGCCTAGCCCTTATGATATGCTTCTCCCCATAGTCTTTTCCATCCGTTTTGGTCAACCTCATTAGATTAGCCTTGCAAGCATCACCATTGCATATGGACACACGAATCGATGGCTAGCTTGATTGGTGAAGAGAGGGGAAAAGGAAGAAGTACCATTTTTAGGGGGAAACATCACCAGGAAGAGGATCAATCAAAAACTCCCCGGGCAAACCATCTTATAGTTTACTTGCTGCATTCTCAACAGCCCCACCAATTTATTTGATATCCCCTTGGGATCTCAAAGTCAAAAATCTACCATATCTACCCCAATCATACAAGCAGACGATTGTCCTAGGAACCACATAATTGTTGGAATAATCCCACCAGAAAAATGTACACTTTGTTTATCAGGAGATCGATAGTCCAATTTCTTTTTTTGTCTCATCAATGCCCAGAAGTCGTACCAGTGAACCAATTGTACCGTCCGTGCACAATGACCGTTCAAGATCCTACGGGACTTTGTCCAACATGGTGCCATGTCGAACGCCCAAGTGGAAGGTGTTTTTGGGTGATCGGTGCAAGTTTAGGGTGTTGATAAGGGAAATTTTTTTTTTTTGAGGCCAATCTATGAAAAATTAAGGATTTTGATTGGGATTTTGCACGAATAACTATCTCGAATTTAAAAAGAACTTAAGTCAATTATTCTTTACTTTCTCTCGATGCCATACATGAGATGTCCCAATTAAGAGAAATCATCTAATGAATTCAGTATATGTAACAAGCGGAATCTGAACCACTGAAAATTACAGATCCCGTCAAATATGACGATCCGATTTCACTTCAGCACACGCCCTAGGTTTAACGACCGATCGCGGATCGAGCCGCCCTCGCCCGGCCCCATCCGACCCGATCGAGCTCGGTTCGCTCGGAGGGGCAGATGGGGTCGCGATTGCCCTTTCGAGCTCGGAACCAGCTCCCTCTCGGCCCCGTCTCGTTCGCCCCGAACCCATATAAATTCCCTACCGAAAGCAAAAGACGTTTTTCCCGTCACGGCCCCGACCGGGATCGATCGGTCCAAGTCCATTGATCAGGTCTATTCAATGCGAGCAGCCAACGTCTCCCACGAGTAGTAGAGAGATTGGTCCAACGCCCAAACAAAACAAAGAAAAAAAAACCATGAACATATTGAATCGCCAACGACACCTATATGCTCTCTCTCTCAATCTCATAATCTCACTTCCACAACCAACAACAACACCAACAACAACAACAACAACAACAACGTCTTGTCTCCCTCTTCCTTCTTCCTCCGGCAGCTTCGTTATCATCGCCACCGCCGCTTTCTCTCTCCTCTCCCTCTCTCTCTCTCTCTCTCTACAGCCATGCAATCCCTCCAATCTCCGCCCCTCCGCGTCTCCCCGCTCGACCCCCTCCGCCGCAAATCCCCCAATGCCTCCCCCGCCGCCGCCGCCGCCGCCCCCACCCCCCGGCGCGTCGCCCTCCCCGCCGTCAGGTCCGCCGCCGCAGCCCCGAGGCGGGAGAGGGACCCGAGGAAGCGCGTCGTCGTCACCGGGATGGGGCTCGTCTCCGTCTTCGGCAACGACGTGGACGCGTACTACGCGAAGCTGCTCGCCGGGGAGAGCGGGATCAGCCCGATCGACCGCTTCGACGCCTCCAAGTTCCCCACCCGGTTCGCCGGGCAGATCCGCGGGTTCTCGTCGCAGGGGTACATCGACGGGAAGAACGACCGGCGGCTCGACGATTGCCTGCGCTACTGCATTGTCGCCGGGAAGAAGGCGCTCGAGGATGCTGATCTCGGCGGCGATAGGCTCTCCAAGGTACCGTGATTCTGGGCTTTGATTTCCGTTTTGTGCTGCTGTGGTTGCATGGTGGGAGAATCTCTTGATTTGCGTCTTGGATCTGAATGGTTCTCCGATTGCTACACGTTTCTCCTGATGCAGTGCCGTTTCTCTTGAGCTTTGAGCTCGGTAGTAATGAATGCCGGGATCCAAATTAGATGTCGACGCCATTGGTAATCTGTAGTTTCCTCATTCCTTGTGGTGAAACGTGGGAAGTTAATTAGATGTCAATGCTGGGCTCCAAAATTCACGTTTATTTGCTGATTCATTTTCATTGTCATCGTAGTTGAGCTAACTCCAGGAAGATTTAGCGAATCCTCTGATGAGAAAATGGATACTGGTAGTAAATTTGTAGACAAGGGTGGAGCATGTTTGCTGGCTTTGCAATCATAGTGCTTTAAAAGTTGATCAAACATTAGAAGTGACTTTTAGAATGGAAGTTTGAGACTTTGGGGGTCTGCTCTTTCTCATTGCTAATTTGCGCCTAGATACTGGGGACGTCTTTTTGCCTCGTTCCTCTCTAGGAAGAACAGCTTGACGTTGTTGGTACCAACTGTTCAACGTTTTTTTTCCCTTTGGAAAACCTCTGTAAAGCGCGAATTCCTTTGCTTTCCCTTCGGCTATGAATTTTTCCTGGTTCAGATTCAAAAGCCATTTCCTGTTCAACGATGTTTTCCCTTTGGGAAACCTCTGTAAAGCACGAATTCCTTTACATCACCAGTTTTTCACTTAATGCTCAACTTCCTTGACAGCTCCATGTCTAACATGTAGCCCAGCTCCTCTGGCTTATTTACTGACACACATTTGTCCTCGTGTTTTGCAAAAACCAATGCATCAATTGCAATGTTAGAACAATAATGTCAAATCCTGTGCATCCTCTGATGTACACTTCCTCTGCTGAAAATGATGCTCATGAACCACAAACGTGATCTCACATGCTCACATACATTGATTTGATGGAACCGCTGTTTGTTGAATTCAATTGTTAAAAATAGAAATTCATCTGCACTAGACCGGCAGTGTCTGCTATCTGGATAACTTCTCTGCTGTGTTTGGGAAATAAGGGGAAATGAGGGAAAATGAGGGGAATGGAAATTGGGGTGGAAAATACAGAATAATTTTTTATTTTTGTGAGAGGGAGAGGAGGGAAAATTTGAATTTTTGGGTATTTCTCTTATTTTTCACATGTAAGCCTCCCAAACAAAGCCCTCTGCTTCATGCAATCATGAAAGCAAAGAGAGAGGAGCATGGATGTCTGAGGAAATGGCATAAACATTTTCTTGTACTTCTCTCATATTCTGTATGTTGTAGGAGATAAATTCGCCAAACCCACTATTTCTGTTAAATAACTTGGTTTTTGGCCCTAGAGAATGCAAAAATGGGACTATTGTAAGTTTGACATGCAGATAACAGCGATTCTATTTGTTGAAATTCCTTTTAGAGTTGCTTTTCTTTGCTTTGGAGGCAGTAATTCTGATGTTGCAATGTTAAGCCTGTGTCGAGGAATAGTGCCTTGCCCTTAATGCACAGTATTCTTTCTAAATGACAAAATCACTAAATTGCTGACATTATTCTACGCAGATCGAAAAGGAGCGAGCCGGTGTACTTGTTGGGACAGGTATGGGTGGTTTGACTGTGTTCTCTGATGGAGTACAGAATCTAATCGAGAAAGGTCACAGGAAGATAACCCCCTTCTTTATTCCTTATGCCATAACAAACATGGGATCTGCCTTACTTGCCATTGAACTTGGTTTCATGGGTCCAAATTATTCCATCTCAACTGCATGTGCCACTTCCAACTATTGCTTCTATGCGGCTGCCAATCACATCCGTCGGGGTGAGGCTGATCTGATGATTGCTGGTGGAACTGAAGCTGCCATTATTCCCATTGGCTTGGGTGGTTTTGTTGCATGTAGAGCCTTGTCTCAGAGAAACGATGATCCACAAACTGCATCAAGACCTTGGGATAGAGATCGAGATGGTTTTGTCATGGGTGAAGGAGCAGGAATTTTGGTAAGCTACTTTACTTTTCCTTATTGTCTATACTGCTATGAGTGTATTTTTCACTGAAAAGTGCTTCAGTTTGTATTTTAGCAGTCTGCAAAAAGACACAAACTACTGCTTTGCTGTGCTGTTAGATTTAGATGCTGTCTGAATATGTTGTGGGACACTTGATTATTGAATTGCTGGATCTGCCACTTTTTAGTTTCGAGAAGCATGTCGATATGCGTGTATTTTTTCGTCTCCTTTTCTATGTATATGTCTTTTATCTTTTACAATAGAAGCACTTGTGTGACATCCATAAAATAATGGGAAGAATATTTCATTGGTGATGTGCCCTTTGTAATTTTCTTTGGAATCCGTATACATTTGGTTCTCACTGTGCATTAGGATATCTTGTTTCATCTGTGTCTCTCTGTATATGAACATCTCTCTCTCTCTCTCTCTCTCTCTCTCCCGTGCGCGCGCGCCGGCGTATGTTTGTGTGCATGTCAACCGTATTAGCTTTCACTATTGGTATCAGACTTTTCCAAAGCATATACTTTTTGTGAACTTGTTTGTGAACCTTTAATTCCCTGTCTAGGTATTGGAGAGCTTGGAGCACGCAATGAAAAGAGGTGCACCGATTATTGCTGAGTATTTGGGAGGTGCAGTTAACTGCGATGCTTATCACATGACTGATCCAAGGGCTGATGGACTTGGTGTTTCCTCTTGCATTGAGAGGAGCCTTGAAGATGCGGGTGTGTCACCAGAGGAGGTAGTCTGTGCTTCCTTTCATCAAATTTTTATCCCAGTATTACTTTCTTTCAGCCTTTACGTTGTTTTCACCATTGTGGACTTCTGCAATGGATCTCTTTTCCATCTATTGTTAGTTTCGTTACACATCCTTGATTTTGAAGGAATTATGTATTGGCTGAGAATTTTACTGAATTTGTCACGCATTTTTCTACAAAAGAAAAAATTGCTTGTTTTCCTTTCAAGTTTTAGCATTATTATCTTCATGTTAGCTTGGGTCCTTACTTTGTGCATGAAACATGCCTTTGCACTTGCCAAATAAACAAGAAATAACAGCCAAGCTTTTTCCAACTAAATGGGGTTGGTAACATGGTGTATTGTACTATCTTCAACCTTGATACTGAAGTGCTCAAGATCTTTACTCAAAAGTTGTCCACATCTTTTTGGCCTTTCCAGTTTTTTTCAAACCATCCAGTTTTTAGGTATACAATCTTGTAACTATTAAATGTTATTAACTCCAAATTTGCCACTGCTACTACAAACTTGTGTGGTTCTGGCACTTTTGTTTGTAGACAACTGAGAGAGAGAGAGAGAGAGAGAGAGAGAGAGAGAGAGAGAGAGAGAGAGAGAGAGAGAGAGAGAGAGAGAGAGAGAGAGAGAGAGAGAGAGAGAGAGAGAGAGAGAGAGAGAGAGAGAGAGAGAGAGAGAGAGAGAGAGAGAGAGAGAGAGAGAGAGAGAGAGAGAGAGAGAGAGAGAGAGAGAGAGAGAGAGAGAGAGAGAGAGAGAGATGAGTTGAGCAGGAACAAAAGTGTTATCACGTGAACAGATATTGAATCAATATTACCAAGGTCAATTACCAAATTATGCAAGTGTTTGATGATCTATGCACTTGTGCACTACTCAAACATCATCAATGACATGAAAAGGGTCCTAAAGTTGATATCTTTATGAGATTGGGAACAATTATAGCTAATGTCAATCCTAGTTCCAAAAACAAATTGATGGGCGAAGATGTGGTAGGTCTTTATGATAACCATGTGAAGCACATACTGTCTTTCCTTGCTTCTTTGAAAGCAATCTAAAGAACATATCTTGCTGTGTGCTCTCCAAAAAGTGACACTGTGTGCTCCACATGGCTGAGAGGGTATTGCTAATGTCAATTCTAGAATTTGATATGGCTGTCTTTCCTCACCTCTAAAAAGATGTAGGACTTTGCGGCCCTTTTTGGTTGATGAATCTGCCAATATCTGGCCATGCCAAATCTAAATTGACAACATAACCGCTGGCCCTTCCAAAAAGTTGTGAGGGTATTGCTATTGTGTCCGAGTTGCCATTAATAGAAGCAGGAAATTTTCTTTGGTTATGTAATTTAGGCATCACTTGATTGTATTTTTAAGCCGAAATATATGACAAGCTTTCAAGCGCTACAAATAAAATATGCTTCTGGTGGACTTTATCTTATCGGCCAAACAGGTGTACTGGAAAAGCACAACGATTCATAAAAATTGAAAATGAGAGATAAAATTTGAAGGATTGTTAGTACTCTCATGCTGTTAAATCATGAAAACACTGAAAGTTTCGTTGTAAGCTGTTAATATTTGAAAACACTAAGTTTCGCTAGTACTTAAGTGTGTGTGTGTGTGTGTGTGGTGGTGAGACTTTCCTGTCTACCTTGCCAATGTGGGTATGGAGAAAGATGAGCTTTACATGTCAACTGAATTCATCTTCAGCGATAAATATGGCTTGCACAGCCTGTTGATTATTTCTGATCACAATGGCTGCTCAAGTGATGTCACAATGGATACTAGGAATAATGCTGCTCTATAATGACTCATGAGGCAATTTAGATGTAAGGGCTGATGGCTCCAAACAAAAGACTTTCATATTGTGAACTGATTTCAAATGGTGGATGCCTTCTGTTATAGTTCAAGGAACTCCTAAAGTTTATAAAATATCTTTGTTATGGGTAATCATGCTAGATCTGCAGAATCTGATTATTGCCAGTAATTATCTGAGGTCGTGCCTGCCTTTGGAAATTGAGCATATAAGCTACTTGGCGCCAGAGATAACTTGATTGTAAAAGTTATTTTAACTGTTCAGGTTAACTACATAAATGCACATGCAACTTCAACTCTTGCTGGGGATCTGGCCGAGATTAATGCCATAAAAAAGGTGTTCAAAGACACCTCAGGGATCAAAATAAATGCAACCAAGGTAATCTCTCTCTCTCTCTCTCTCTCTCTCTCTTTATCTCTGATTGACTTGTTTTAACAAATTATACTGTTTCAGTCTATGATTGGACACTGTCTTGGTGCTGCTGGAGGTTTGGAAGCTATTGCCACAGTGAAAGCAATCATGACAGGGTGGCTTCATCCCAGTATTAACCAATTTGTATGTACTTTCTACTCAACCAGCTTACAACTGAATAGCTGTCAGCTGTGAAACGATGAATACTGACTTAACGAAGAGATCAATAGAATTCACTTGGCAAGATGTTATCAAGTTATAATCTACAAACTAGCATGTAGTCAAAACTACTAACTTATAACACAAGAAAGTTACAGAATCATCTCTGCGCAGTACTTCAAAGGACGAGGCATTCTGAAACGAAGCCCCAAGTAATTACCATTGTTGCTTAGAAATATTAATGCAGACTAAAAACATATTTAAGCAATGTATATTCTTTTTATGGACGAGATATTACAAAGGAAGCGGATGACAAATGAGAACCATAACATTAATAGTCAATCAGTCAACTTCTTTATTGATAGTCTTTCCCTTCCTCTCTAATGCTTACACGTTTCTACTTATTTGTAACCATGATGGAGAAGAACTTTGCTTTTGTAGAACAATTTGTCTGCTTTGATATATGTGTTTGTGACATTCATTTTATCAACTCTAGAATCCTGAGCCCTCTGTGGATTTTGACACTGTCGCAAACAAGAAGCAGCAGCATGAAGTGAATGTTGGTGAGTGATTCCCCCTGAACGGATTGGTATTATAGTAAGATCATTCTGAACGGTACATCCGAGGTTAATTGTGGATTTGTCGTTGCAGCCATATCAAATTCATTCGGATTTGGAGGACACAACTCTGTGGTGGCCTTCTCAGCGTTCAAGCCTTGATTATGCTGGACCATTGTTACGGGTAACCTGAAGATTCATCTCATTCGTGGGAGATTCCGGAATTTATTTCTCATTGAGAGCTGGCTTATCCGCTAATAGTTTAGATTTGCCAGATGCCTTGCATGTCATTCGCAGTTATTCAAAAATTAGCAGCTGCCAACTAGGGGAAGAACTAATTATGTCATTTGTATCTTTAAATAGAAGCTATCTACTAGTTGCAAGAGATTTTGTTAAATTTTGGGTCATCTTTTGGCAGAGGATATGCTTTACGTTATTTATTAAGTGATGAGTTATGATTTTGCATTTTTTACATATCCTATTCTGTTCTCGTCGTGCAAAGGGTATCTTTCCAATAATTCCATGTGGGGAAAAACTTTGTTTTGGTAGAAGTGTGTGTTCTTTGCTTCAATCCTTTTTGGGCTGAGAAAAGGATCTCTAATCTTGGCAGAACTTATTTGCATGGTTGCACTTAGTGGCACACCTATTTGCATTCAAGCCTGTTACCTTCCAGTTACGAAACATTGACGCACTGAGATGTGGAATTCTTTGAGCAGGTGTTGTTTGAATTTATTTTTTTAGAAAAGAAACGTTTCTCAATCTGATTACTCAACTTTAGTCCCAAGAAAATATTGCAGAGAGACCAATAATTTCTTATCTGTTTTTCATATGGTGACCTCTTTAAGTTGCTTGATGGTTGTGAAATTAATTTCGCATGTTCAGATCGGATCATCAGATCATTGATATGTAAAACGTATGAGGAACTCGTGCCCTTTCCGTCCCCTATAGTTTTGGTTAGGTTGTCTAAAATATATGCTTTGGAGGAAATATGGATGCGTTTTGCTATTCCATGTTCCCAATAGCTACTTCTAGGAATAGGATTGTCTTTCCATTTCGTATTTCTTACTAAAAGTAGAGATCAAGAAAGACCTAACATCTAGAGGGTATAGCGTTAGGAAAGGAAATTCCTAAAGCATCAATAAGCAATATAGGAAATATTTTCTTTAAGTTGGCAGCTGTCGCAAATTTGAGACAGAGCCCTCGATTCCCGAGGCAGTCCACTCCGCAGACATTTTGCCTTCTCTACAGACTTGAATTGTTTTCGCTCGCAATCTGTGTCGATGAGCGTGTTTGACAATGCGAAACCAAAGAATCATAAGGGTGATTGGAGTGTGTTGGGTTTGACTTGTAATTCGCAAGTGATTTCTTGGGTGCCTAGGCCACTCGACCCAGTGACGGCATTTAAGCAAAACTATTACCAAGAAGACACTTATGGAGGAGCCAATTACCAAAAGAGTCATGAATGAGATCGCCAGCTCCAACTCTTCCCTAATTAACCAAAAGATGCTCCCCATCTATATTTATCTTGACCCAAAGAAAATTGTATGTGAGGGAAGTGAAGATAGACCGTCTCCTCCAAGCTCTGTTTGAAAAGTTTGCTTTCACATCAAGGCGGAAGTTCTTATGTTATAGTTGAGTTGTAGTACAATTGTGTGATTGTCTCTATGAGCAAGGTTAGAGATATTAGAACCGGTGTACAGAATTGATTTACTTCTAACACAGTAAACCGCGGGTGCATCTAAGCAAGTGAACTATATATCATTTCCAACAAGAATCCGACTCGTTGCTCTGTTTTGCATTGTCCTAAGATCTCTAGATTATCCTAGTCCCTGGTTGATAAAATGAGCAGATTCCTCCTCAATGGTATGCGTGAGCATTGCGCTTCTTGGCTTGAGTATTTGCGCTTGCTCTCCAGCAAAACACACAACAGGCTTTTGGAATGATCATATGCTCTTTTCGTATGTTCTCATGTGAAGTCATTTTGTTCCAATGAGATCTTTTTTCTTCCATCGATAGATAAAGCTACATCGTTTGATTTCACGTCCTTGCTGATTTAAGAAAACCAAACCAGGGCAGAGGGGATTTCTTAGGGAATTAATCCTAAATTACTGCTCCATCCTAATCAATGAACAAGGCCAACATAACATTCTTCTGCTAGGCCACATGGCATCTGGTGGAACAAGCTGATGAAAAGTCAGCATAAGCATAACCTACAAGGCCTCATAGTGTAATCATTACATGAAATACTATCTCCTACTTGTAAACTGATATTAACAGCTAGTCAAGACCCAACAAAATGTCACCTCATGGTGTGCAAATCTCGGATAAAAGCTTTCATTATCATTCCATCATCCTCTTATTTTGCGGGGCTTCAATTGTTCTAAGAACTAAGTACCTACTGGCAACAAAATTAGATATGGAGTCTATAATCAAGGTCCAAACTACAGGTAAAGAGGTCATGATTCAAAAGATAGGTAGAGAAGAAACAAAGCTCCTTGCGCTCTTAAAGAAATGCCCAGACTTAATATGCATGTAAGCATAAGGTGAGCTAAGGTTAACATGCAAAAAGCCAACATCGCCACAAGTCATTGATCACCAAAAGTATAGAAGAAAACAAGGATAAATTCCAAAGAGCTCGATGTCCTAGGATAAATGACAAACTTCTCAGACACAAAAACGGAGAAAAATGAGAGGCTGCTGAGTTTTTACCAAAAACTATTGACCCTATAACTCAGATCAACAAATGCCAGTCTTACATAAACAAATTGGGCCTTGATGCCTTGTAGGTGGTTTTCAGCTTCCTGGTTGGGGGTCTAACCTTCTTGAATACCAGCGGGAACTTGATCTTCGAGTTGTGGAATTGCTTGGTGCTCTCCCTCTTGCAAAGCTTCGCCGGAACAGTGGCTGTCTTAATGATCTGGATACATGGGAACCTGACTCTGTGGCGAGATGCCATCTCGTTATACATCTGCTCCACAGCCCCATTCAGAGTGGTATCTCTGTATTCCTTGTACATGTTGTGGTATCCAGTTCGGCTTTGGTAACGGAGCCATATCCCATAGTTATTGATCTTCGTTGGGTTCTTCTCAAAAATCTGCAAGTGACTCTAGTAAGCAAAAAGAAATAGCAAGGCCACCTCACACATGATTAGGCAACTCAGACCAAACTGCATCACCCCTCAAGGACAAGACGAGTAATTGAAAGTGTAAAACATAGAGCAGAGGATAACCACCTCATCTTGTTCATTGCTCAGAGAGTTATGCATATATCTGTTTATATTTAAGAATCAACATAGGAGGTACAAACTAATAGCCAGGGTCTGCTGCTGCCCATGGTGCATGATCCTAATTTTGCATGTTCATGATTGATTTGGTTGTCAAGACTCCATGATGCATCTAGGTCGAGATATAATGAGCAGGTACAGTATCAGAGATTGATGATGTATGTATTATACCATAATCTTGCCAATCGATTAGCAGAATGAAAGTCCCAAAGAAAATATTTTTACTAAGGTTTGGAAAGGAAAGCACTTGAAAATAGAATAAGTCTCGCTGATATAAATCAGATCCTGACTAAAAGATGGTCAAACAATAGTTGTTATTCATCGCAAAGGAAGGAATGAATAATCAATCAAAACTTGCACTAAATTGGGTCTTCAATAAAAAATTTTGCTGTTCATGACTACTAATTGGAAACTCCTAGTTTAAATGTGAAACTTTACACATTCAGAGGAAAATGTTACAGTGAGAGTAGGCAAAAGCACCTCTAACTCTAATGGCCATACCATAGAAATTGAAAATCCAGATTTTGGAATTCAGAAACTAGTCCACAGGATCCATTTAAAAGATGGAACTTTCCTAGAACACTGAGATGGTTACAACTTCCATAGCTGAAAGGAAATCGATGTAAAAACATCCAGCTTTCTTTTCATTCTTACTATTAATTCGAAGAACAGTTCCTGATCTTAGAGTTACGTAGTTTATGAGGGAAGTGTCCACCTTCTGTCTCGGTCTATACTTTTCTCTTAAAAAAAGATATTCCAGCGACTTTCTAAGTCCATTCTCTCCATCTTCTCAATCCAATATCAACAGTGCAGGGAAAGCTCAAAACATCTTGGCTGATTTCACTGGAGCACTACCAAGTAGATGTTCCAGGAAGAAGCAACAAAAAGAAAACAACTCTTAACTCATCTAAAAACTTCAAAAGAAAAGTTTTGACTGTAAAAGCCACTCAAAAAATGAATTAATCCACTCAAGCCCATTGGCTCTCCCACGATTCCAACATTAGATTATGCTAGCTAGGTCTACAAAATTATCTAAAAAGCATGCGAGAAATTGATCTTCTCAGGGGAAAAGACTTCCAAGTGATGACTACCGTATATGATATTGAGAAAACTCATTCAGCAAGAAGGAACATGGGGGGAAAACCAAGCTTCAACTTCTGGTTTACAGAATAATACATCGAGCAGAGGGAAGCAAAGGTTCCTAAGAAATCAAAACATAACCTCACAAAAAAATTCCATGCAGCTCCTATTATCATTAGAACATTGTAAATCAATTCAAAGAGCAACCCCACTACTTAGAACTATTGACCAGAGACACACCTCGTTGATGGCGAGCACCTGGCCATTGCTCTTCTTGACCTTCTTCAGCTTCCTCAGGAAATACCTAACTCACATCAATTGACCGAATACCTAATCAATTTCTCAACAGGGACAATCAAATTTCGCGGTATCACACACAACAGCACAGTGCCCAAAAACCCAAATATCTCATTACTCGCGTACCAGAACTTGGACTTGGCGCGGACCTCATTGGTGGCCCACAGCTTCATGCGATAGATCTTCGGGTGATCATCTGCCTCGGTGGGCAGGGCTCTACCCACAACCTGGTACTGGTGAAACTGCAACCCGCAAGATACAAAATTTCCTCAGGGAACAAAAAAACAAACACAATCCCCCCAAACCCAATTTCGTAAACCCCAGCGACAAGTTAAAATTCCTCGCAAAGCGACAGAATTTCACGAAATGCACCCCACTTCTCGCGGTCAATCAGATGTTCCAACATCACCAGCCATCAAAAATCTCAAATTTATGGTTTCATTCTCCCTATCTGATGACGAGAAACATGGCAGACAAAGCACGGATCGAATGATGCAAGGAGCTAGGTACACGCGCGCGACGAAGCCACTGGATGATCCGAACATTTTCGCCCAATTGGGCAATCGATGCGACCTACAAAGTATAGAGAGAGAGAGAGAGAGATGGAAGCACAGACCCTGAAGGTGACCATTTCGGACGCGAGATGGAGGAGACGATGAAGATCTGCGACGGTCGCTATGCACTTCCCCTCCTCGTTGCTGGAAGTGGCGAGCTAGGGTTTTGTGTTGCTTTTATAGTAGAGTCGAACAACTAGATGCAAACGGCACAAACCCTAGTTCTTGTCCTCTCTCTCTCACTCTCTCTCCCTCACTCTTTCTTCTTTTATTTTCTCCTCTCTTTTTTTTTTTTTGCTATTTAGTACTTGCTATATAACCTTGGGGGGAAATATCTTTTTAGCACTTTGAGGTATTAATATATTTATTGTTTAATTTTCATTGTGATGGAAATTCTTGTTCTTGGCCATATGAACCTTAATTCTTATGAGAAATTTGATAAATTGGTTGGTATTTTAGTAGAACTCGACGAACACCTGATTAATATTTACATGGACACCCGTGTACTTTAGCAAATGGAATCTCATCTGAGATTATTTTCACTCTTGCACATTCCTAGCACGCGGATGTGGCGTGCCAATCAGGGTGAAAGCGCACATGTCCATGGTCTTGCTTATAGCATATGATAATTGCGTAATTTTGATGATTTAAATCTAAGTTTTTTAAGTGAGAAGATGAACATCTTTTCCACTTGAGGAGCTCCTCTGGATTTCCCCCAAAAAATAGCTAGGGATAGTGACATAAAAGATTCTTGAACTTTTTAATTTGTGGAATATCAAATGGGACTATTTTTTGTGCAATTGGTACATTGAACTTTTTTAGATTTGTGCAATGTTGGTCGTTCCATCAAATGCTTGGATAGAAATTTTGATATGGCAGTCTAATAAACCATTGAGTAATTGCAGGGTAACTATGTATCTCCTATTGTGGCTTTTATAAATTTTAAAATTTAAAAAACATTTGAAGATAGTCTAATTTGAAAAGAAAAAACATGGAGAAAAAACTGATAGCACTGGGGGATATGGCAGAATTTGGGTTGGAGGATGGCGGAAATGGACCGGATGATCACGTACCCTCGCCACTGGTTGATGTGGCCGTAGACCCTCGTCAACGAGTGCCGAGATGGTTGACGAGGGTCGCAGCCCTCCCTCAAATCTAGGCAAGGCTAGCAACCTCACATTTAACCCTGGGCGAGGTTCAGTCACTCTCACTACCGCTTGCAGGGACAAAGACGAAGGCGAAGGCCAACACGGCTGCAAGGTTAATCCAAACCTGTCGAGTATCTCTGTCAAACCCTCCATCAGTTCGACTATGTGCACCTACGTATGATTAGAGGGGGTGGCAGCAATGCCCCGTGCGAGGGTCTAGAAGCCCTTGTCGACAGCTCGGTAATGCCACCGACGCCGCCTCCATGGCCTCCGCTGCCCAACGTCCGCCTCCTCCTCTCTGTTTTGACTCTGTAGTTTCTTTCCATTCTTCTAGTCCGCATCCGCAACTATTTGATGATAGCACTGATGTGGCGCTAACATAGCTGCCATGCTAAATCATATAGTTGTATGAAGAATACAGAGTTAATTAGAAGTATAACATCTACATCTTTTATCTTAAGCCAACAACCCAAAATAATAACAGATAAGTTCATCATTCACTGTCAACATCAAGAACACTGACTTAATTGAAAATTGGTCACTCAATTAAGCTCTCACTATGGTCGCCATGTCTCAAATTTGGTCACCCAACGTTGTCATACCGCTGCCATTAATCGTCACCAAGGCGACCGAATCAGCTTGAATGTGTTATGCCATAACTAAATCCGCTCTTTGGCCACAGTTACAAACATTCATGTCCAGACCTAATTAAACATTCCGATTCGCATGTGAAGCTTGATTTTGCTAGCATGTCATGCTATATTTGCTGATGAATTGAAATTTAGACTGAAATGAACCCAAGATACTAGATTGCTGCAATTTTTGAAGTTCAAACCAGAACGAGACGTATTAAAAAATCTGATCTCCATGGAATAAGCACAAAATTTCTTACCTGATTTTGCAACTAACCCCAAACAAAGAGCACCAGAAAATGGAAACCCTTGTTATTATTCTTGCATCAACCTTAGAAATTACTTTGCATTTAGAAGAATATCTTTTAGATAAAATGACAGTATAATAGCAGCAAACTTTTCAGCGGTGTCGAGGCATCACTGTACAAGTATTGTGGAGTCCCTCAGTATGATCTCACCACCGATGAGCCCCCCTTGTCGCACCCACAGTAACAGCAAGAACAGCAAGGAAAGACTGAAATGTCAAAAATAAGAACTGCTACGTTAGTGTTAACGAACTTCTCACACAGCCAGTGAAATAAACTTGTAATCACAAATTCGGAATTATACACTGATACCGGTAAATAATGCAATAACCACTATATAAACCAGCTAATTTATAAACAGTAGTTGCAACTTGCAAAAGCTATTAGTTTTTTTCTCGAGTGAATGCTAAACATAATCTGCAATGAGCGATAGTCTAGCAAAGGGATAAATATTTTCTACAACTATTCATCAGCGCGATTAGATTATAAAAAGTAAACTCTACTGGGTAGAGATATACATTTTTGGACTTATAAATTTGAAAACTGATATTTCTTGGCTAGGCAATTACTGGGTGTCATTATCAGCCCATGCAGCTTGGACAATCGAGTTCCTCAGTTTCCCGCTAAGTTGAAGTTGGTGCCTAGAAATAGTAACATGAGGAGGAAAATACTCTGGTAGAAGCTCCATGGAAAATGCAATAACACAGGTATATACGCTGGACAAGTAACATTCCTTATGTATTGAAGTGAAGGAAAAAAATTTAAGCATGGGATCAAGGCATAATGCAGAACCAATTAGAGAATTCTTAAAGTTCTAAGCATTCTCCAAAGTTGCTATGCCCAAAATTGAGTCGACTTCCCAAGAGATTGTCAGCAAGTCAATGTGAATAGATCTGGTGATAACTCATCCATTAACACAAGCATGTCATTCTTAAGCAAGATAAGGTATAAGGATAGAGAATAGACACTTACAGCTATTGCACAAGCAACATATCCGGGCTTTTCTCGCCGATCTGGGCAACAACAAATAAGGAGAAAAGTCCCAATGTACCAGGGGATTCCACCGAGAAAGAAACCAATCAAGAACCTTGCAGATGAGATAATGTAATTAGCATCACTTTACTAACCTCAAGAAACCCCAAAAGTTTACAAATAAGGCCACCATTTGGGAAGATAAATCGCTTGTTCATTAACTTCCATTATTCCATACAAGGCCCTTGAAAAAGATTGCTCCACCTCTACTTGACAAAATTCAGAAATTATTTGGTCTGAAGCTACCAACAGAATGAGAGATACAGAATGCCTTCAACTTTTTTCATTTTAAAAAGTTAGGTTGCATTTCAATTTTCAATTTCTCACTGCACAAATTCTGTTGTAGTTCCTAAAATGACCCTGCCCACTGCTATTCATGTACTCATTCCCAAGTTCCTTTTTATTATTCTTATTTCTTGTAACTATAATAACACTAAAACTCTCTCTCTCTCTCTCTCTCTCTCTCTCTCTCTCTCTCGACTATCTGTATCTTTAGTAGTACAATTCATACCAGATCGCATGGGCAAATTGCATTGTTAAGCTAACAACAATTCACACTGGTCAAGGTATATTGAGTGCATAAAGATAATCCTCGTTGCTGTTGACTGTCTGCTAACTAATTTTGATTAATACATTGATTGGGGGAAAAACCCACAGACCAATCCCAATCATGTCTGACACGTAAAACAACAGGTGCAAGGCTTCAGTTTAACCAATATAAAGCCGTTCATCTAATGAAGTTCTGTCCAGCCTGAGGAGATATTTGGATTTTTACCCATAATACAGACAATAGGCTTTCCATCCAATTGGCCAATTCTCAGGCAATGCACACTCGAAGAGGATACCAAGTTCAAAGAAAAACAAAATGATTTAAGCATGCAACGACGATGAATATTTACGCGCAACTTACAAATGAGAAGATAAATCAAGCAATAGATGATTTTCACCGTGCGCACTCTGAGGTAACATGAAAAGATAGTTATAGCTCCTGTCGTCCTTGGGTGCGACAAAGACCGCGTTCCCTTATAAATTCTCCTAACCCTTAATTAACCGCTTAAAATTTTCAGGTGATGCATTGCACAGCTAGAAAGAAGTGGCTAATCTAGAATAACTTACAAGAACCAGCCGATACCAATACCGCAGCAAGGCAAACGCCGCTCTATAACCGGTGTTCCCTCCACAATTGCATAACCTTCAATGAACAAGAACCCATAATGAGATATAGAGACATTGTAAGCAACCGAAGTGTTTGGAACGGTCGTCAAAACCACAGGAAAACAATGTCTTTCCTGTCATTGCAACAAAACCTATCGAGTCCATCATTTCTTCTGCGTCATACAATCAAGAACCAAAGGTGATCATATCAAGCGATCTACTAACTCTTACGGAGGACACGCTACGAATCGCCATGTGAAATCAGAAATTTTACGTCCGAGAGACAGATCGAAGAACCAATAATTTTAAAACAATAGAACAGATCATCATGTTCTAGCTGTGATAATCATTAAGCATGCGAAAACGAAGCTGCAATCTCCACAGGACAACGTGATCCCACCAAAACATACAGAACATCAGGAAAAAGAAACAGAATTCAACATCCCGTTTCCATCCTGAAGGCGATTTCTAAATATAATCACAGAAAGAATTCGCGAAATCAAACCCGAAACTCAAAAGAATCAGCGCGTGTACGACGAGATGAGATACCTGCGACGGTTTGATAACCGTAAGCATAGTACCGGGGACTGCCGGCGGAGCCCGGAGGAGGAGCCGGCTGGGGGAACCCGATCACCGGCGGAGGGAGCTGCTGCTGCGGAGGCGGAGGAGGAGGAGGGTTGTAGTAGTTCGCGACACCTTGGAACGTTCCGTAGTAGTTCGGGCTCTGCTGGTCGCCGCCGCCGCCGCCGCCGCCCGCGCCCGAGCCAATCAAGCCCCGGCTTTTGTCGTCTTGGCTCATCGTCGCGCTCGGCTTCTGTCCCGGCGGTTCGTCCGCTTCGGTTTCCCTCGCGATCGACGGATCGGAGACGCAGGGGGCGAAGGCGATCGCCGGATCTCCGTCGACCGGCGACCGGCGATGAGGTTGCGGTCGTCTTCTCCTCCTCCTCCTCCTCCTTCCTGGTCGTCTCTGCAACAGAATCGGAGGAAGAAGACGAAGACGATGACGAAGAGGCGGAGGAAATTTTCTCGTTTGCTTTTAATTTATTTAAATCTCAATAATCGAAATATTAAAATCAATTTTCATCGATTTTTTTTTGTCTAATTTTGGGGAGGTTTCAGTTTTGGTGGTAAATCGGAAATCGACCCGTTTTGACCCATTTTCCTAAAAATTAATTTACCAAAACGCGTCCTTTTCGGGAAAAATAAAATATTTAAAAAAATATTTTACTGAAAATGATTATTTGTTTTGTTTACAAAAACAAGTGAAAACTATATATTTTTACTGATTACAAAAATGTTTAGACATGTTTTGTTGTAGATAATGAAAAAAAAATTCATTGACTAATTATTTTAAATGATATAAGTGATCATATTTAGGAAAATGTAATTCGTGTAATCCATTTTCTAAGAAACAGGGGAGCCTTAAATTGAGCTATGATACTTGATTATTCTGCATTTTATAGAAAAAAATAGAGGGCAATAAACAATAAATCACTAAAAAACCGCAGGAATAAAAAAAAATATCATGCAAGATGGAATAAAACACGGGAAATTGCCTTTTTCATTCCATGAAAATAAATAATAGGTGGTGTATGCATTGGAAAAGGTTTATTTGCATGCGCGGTGACAAAATAAAAATCAATTATATTTTATCAAATAATTTTCAATCACCGTTGATGGTAGAGGGGTCAAAGATTTAGAAGGCAACAAAGGGTAATAAACTCATTATTGTAATTTAACAATTATCGATCTAATATTACTTTGGAAGCTTTCCAAATTGAAAGATGTTTTTAATTAGAATTTATTGTTATCTATTATTTTATTAGAGCACGAAAATACATTACCATGGATATGCGCTGTATTGCTTGTCTTCTTTCACGTAAAGAGTCCTCAATAATGGAAATTGCATGCAAAAATTCCATCACCATACTGTATTAGTGAAAAATTAGAAGTTTGAGATAAACAATAAAAAAGTACACATGACAAATATATGCCTCTAAGAAATATTATATTTATCTCTAAGTGAGTAGAAGTGGTAAAAAAAAAAAAGAAATGACAAAAAATAACTGTTTTATTACTTTGTTTGGCCAATTAACTCAATGGTGAAGGAATATTTACACTCATATAAAACGAATGATGGGACGAATTTGATTCTTCGTACTAATGAGTACCGGACATCCTTTTTGGGGCACTTTTATGAATCTCGACTTATATCTTACCCATGACGAGCATTCTTGTAATGAAAAAAGGCAACCTATATGAACTTCTTGCGACGACCATGAAAATTTCTATAGCATAAGTATTTGTTTTTTTTTTTTTTTACACTTTGTGTGGTAAACAACACAAGAGACCTACCCACCTGCGCATGGCCGAGTTGATGGACGCTTTCCTTCCCTATTCAGAGGTTCTGGGTTCGAATCCCCGCTCGGTTCCGTAATTTAAGTGGGGGGCTTTGGTGGTGGGTTGCTGGGCTAGTCTCCCCCGAGGTATAGGCGCCCCCGATTACCTGTGCGGGCTCGTCCCCGGGGAATGGTGGCGGATCCTCGGTTACCAAACAAAAAAAAAAAACACAAGAGACCTGAATGAAAATTGCAGAGTATTTGCAAAGTGTATTATTATGTATATTTGCTCTCTTTCTTAAATGGGCTAAATCCTAGGTTTGGTAATGCATTTGGGTTGCAAAAAATAAATGGGTCAGTTGCAAATTCGTGAAGGCTAGACTCATCTAAGCCCCCTCCAATTGAGAATGTAGACGGGCTTCTAAAGAGAGTTTTATATGGATATTGGGCCAGCCACAGAGGGGATTCAAAAGGAAGTCTGGGGCATTTGCCAACCATGAAGGAAAGGAAGTCTTGCTCTTGATTGGCACCAAAACACTCCGCCGTTGCTACAAGATTTGGGCTCCAATGAGGGAGGGAGTTTTGGATGCTCCACTCGGCAAAGACAATTTTAGTTTATCCAAATCAATCAACGCGTGCAAAAAATATTTCGATTTTTAAAGAATATGAGAAAAACGGGACGCTTGGCATGATGGGTGACTAGGGACACATACTCTAGTTCGTTCGGAAATGGTAAGATCTTTGGTAGAGGACATGAAGCGCTCTTCCTTGAGTGTGTGTATGTTAAGTGCACTGTCTCCATCCAAATTCCGACTTATCATAGGCTAAGGAGCGAAACGGCATCTCGCTTGGTCATGTGTGCTACAATACTCTTGGGCAAGAGAACATTCATGTCCAGACCGATAGAACAAGCAAGCTCTTGAGTACACTCGACTCAGACACGAAAATAGAGTTAGAGTGAGAGAGCGAAAGACTAGAAGCAAGTCGTTACGCAATTTGTTAGCATTATAGTCTTGCAAGCCAATCGGTCTACCATCATGCTACAGCTATCTTGGGTAAAGAAGAGAAAGGTTTAAGGTACGTTTGTTTCACAGAAAATTTCATAAAAAAAAAATATTTTTCATGAAAAAAAATTTCAAGGAAAATATTTAGTTTTCATTTATTTGGTAGTTTAGGGAAAGTGATTTACTTTTTGTCAGAAGTAAAAGTTATTTTCCCCCAATCTAAACTTATTGTTTTCAGTCCATTAGAACATGTTAAGTAAATTAATTAGTTTTCCTTTAAACAATAGTGGACTAGTTATTCCACGGGAACAAGTTAGAGTATGAATTGCAGTAAATGAGATAATGGCTCAACATAAGTGTCTTTAAACTTATGACTTTATAGTTCATGTCCTTTCAATTTTTTACTGCAGTCTTTGTCTTTAATATTATTGTAATTATGGGTTAATGGCTCAACTAATGTGATAGTTTATGTTCTTTCAGTTTTCTACTGTAGTTTTCTTTGTCTTTAAAAAGACGTGTCTCTTTAGTTCATAAAATGGAGTCCTCTAGGTGTGCCGATTTCGAGAAGTTTTCGATAGAATTATGTTCGCATAGTGCTAATACAAACATGTTCGAGGTATTGTATTTTGGAAGGCATAGTTCATGAAACTGCTTAGCACCGTTGCCAGAAACTAATCGCTCTAATGAAATTCAGTTAACCATACCTTACCTACTGTGTAGTTTTGTTACAATTTTATAGCAATTGTGCAAGTTCAAATTTGGTTTGTAATTGTATCCTCTTTTGCTCACAAATTTGGTCATTATCAAAGTTGTTATCGCTTTTTCAGAGTTATCATTTATGGTTAAAGAAACTATGTTACGTAATTTTCCTACAATATGTTTTAGTAACAAAGTAAGATTTAAGTATGAGTCTAAGGCTCCACTTGTTTTGCGGAAAATGAATGATTCAGAAACATTATTCTAAAATCAATCGCTTTTATCGCTTGAAATAATTAGTCGATAAAAAAAATTTCAATATTGATAACGATTTATATCTAAATATTTTCGTATTTTCATGGATGACAAAAACTTTTTCTCCGTTTGTTCAATTCGGTAAACGATACAAGCGATTATTTTTAGGAAAGTGTTTCCCAAAGCCATCCCTTTTTATTGAAATGAACACACCTTAACACGACAAGAATAGTGATAGGTCCTTGTAAATGATGACCAAGTTTCAATGTTAAAAAACCTCCAACTTTAACTTTTATCATAATTTTACCTTTTGTCTCATAAAAAATCTCAAATTTTAGGTACAGTCCCAATTCTACTATAAACTTTTTTTTGTCAAATAAAAAACCCTCAACTTTAGGTCTTGTCCTAATTTTATCATAAAACTTTTACAGTCTCATAAAAAATCACAAATTTACTTGAGTCACAAATCTACCCCCATTAACCCTCTATGCAAAATTTCTCGTTGACAATCTAAAGATGGAAAACTCTCAAGCACTAGTTGTTCGAGCATCTCGAGCGCTCTCCGACTGCGAGAGATCGATGAGCGCAAAATCCCTAAGGGCGATTTTGACGGAGGGTTAATAGAGAGTAGATTTGGGACTCAAGTAAAAATTAGTGATCTTTTACGAAACGAAAAAATTAAAGTGAAATTGAAATTAGACCTAAAGTTGGGATTTTCTTATGAGATAAAAACAAGTTTAGGGTAAAATTGATATTGGACCTAAAGTTTAGGATATAATTGGGACTGGACCTAAAGTTGATGGTCTTTTACGGGACAAAAAAAAGTTTACGGTAGAATTGGGATAAAAGTTAAAGTTTGAAGTCTTTTTTGGGTATTAGAGTTTTCAAAGTGCTAGGGAAATAGCTTGGAAAATCATTGGAAAGCAGCACTGGAGCTGCAGATGTGTGTCGAAAATCACGACAGGACAGCAGCGAGGGAGCTGCGACTGCGAGCTCGAACTGTTGAAGGAGCAGCAGCCACACCCATTTTTCTTGCCGGACACCAACCTCCTTGTACTGTCGTTGGCGTCACGCAACACGATGACAAGCCCACGGAACGTGGTTGTTTCCTTCCCAGTTTTGCTGGGGTAAGTATAGCGCAAGTGCCATAACTTTTGTACGGAGGACACTTAAGTGCTATAACTTTTTTTTGGCTCACTTGAGTGCCATAACTTTAAAAAAAAAGATCACTTAAGTGCCACTTACGAGCTGGTCGTGAGGGCCCAAAACCGCGGCTTTTCCGGCCGAACCATGACCTTCCCGAGGAGGCGAGCACCACCAGCTTGAAGAGGGGGTGTCGGTGAATCATTCCATGGCCTCCGTTGGTCTCGAAATTTCCGTTTTAGCCTCTGTTGACGAAGGTAAAAATGCTTCATAGTCGCACATTTATCAAGCCGATTTGTGTGACTACGAAGCATTTTTACCTTCGTCAACGGAGGCTAAAACGGAAATTTCGAGACGAACGGAGGCCATGGAATGATTCACCGACACCCCCTCTTCAAGCTCGTGGTGCTCGCCTCGCAGGAAAGGTCACCGTTTGGCTGGAAAAGCCGCGGTTTCGGGCCCTCACGACCATCCCCTCTGACAAGCTATTCATGAGGGCCTGAAACCGCGGCTTTTCCGGTCGAACGGTGACCTTCCCAGCGAGGCGAGCACCACCAGCTTGAAGAGGGGGTGT